GTTGTTGTTGTTGTTGTTGTTGTTGTTGTTGTTGTTGTTGTTGTTGTTGTTATTATTATTATTATTATTATTACTATTATTGTTATTTTTTCAGAAGGAAAAAAACAGTCATTGCTGTTATTTTCTGCACCAACATGTCAGGCTGGAACATCCATATCACATGTCTGAGCTCTTTTTGACATTCAGCTTGAACATGCATATGTATACTGTTTTTCCCTTACATACTGCTACTATCATGAAGACATGTCAGAACTCGGGACTATATATAAATATTGACAGAAAAGAACTGTCAAAATATTGCTAGAAATAAGACATTTTCTGATTGTTGATAGCTGAGGTCACTGAGTGCACTGAAATGTTTGCCTCACTGTAACTATGGCATGTCTGCTAGGACTGCACAATACAGGAAACAAATGCAATAAACTCATGATTTTCTCACTATTTATTTATGTTTTGGCATCACTATTATCTAAAAAGGAGGTTCTCAAACCCAGGACCCCCAGGTGTTCATGAGCTGTAGCTTGGGGGTCCTCAATTGCAATAAATTTTGTTAATTTTGTCTTATTTAAAAAGTGCAAATACATAGCAAACCAAACAAAAAATGTAAGTATTCCCATGGCATTTAGGGGTTTTAAATAAGGGATTTAATAAGCATGAGGGGGTCTCTGTAATTTTTTTTCTCCTGTAAGGGGTCCCCAGGCCTAAACCGATTGAAAACCCCTGATCTAAAGGCATCAAGGCCACTAACAGAGTTACTAAATATATTATTCACATGTACAGCTTCAATCCACTGTGCTTGAAATAAGATTTATTGCTATCAAAGCTTTCTGAGATACTGATATTARACTCACTGATGCTGCAATGACATTTATTTTATATATTGTCCAGCACCAGCTATATAAATCAGACACTTGTTAAAGCCACTTGGGAGGAGGTTTTGTTGTCGGACGATGAAGTTGTTTTCAGATTTACACTGAAAACAAATATTTCTTTCCCCTTAACTGCCAAATTGAACGCTACAAATCAGAAATCGATTCGCACCCAAGAAAAATGTCAAAGTGAAGACAAACGGCAACGACAATTGTGAAGAGGGTGGTTGAATTCATGACCAGGCCGTAGCAGTGGCTGAGAAAATTATTATTATTTTGTTCTGTACTTTTTAAGCTGCTGAGGAAAAGAAAGATTTTTTTTAAATATGTCCAACTGACTGAATGGAGAAAAAAAGGTTGGCCACTAAAGAAAAGCAAAAATGTCTTTGTGCATGAGCTGCATCATACATGCATTTGTGTCATTTCCTTGAATCACTCATCTTTTCGGGCACATTTGCTTTTCAGCTTTACATCCCAGTTTAGCTTACGGCAGTTAATTAGCTTGATATTTAATTTGTAAAGAGCTGAAAACAGAATTTCTTCTCTAAGCACCACTCAAAGAATTCCAAGTATCAAGCGATGCTTTTGAACCGCAGTTTGAGAACTGTGGATTTAAGTAAACATTTACTCACTCCAATAATTTTCTCAATCCCAAAAGGGTTGTTTTTTTTATTTCAAGTCCATAAAAGATCATTTCATACAGAATGAATGGCCAAGTGATTTCTCACATGATGTCGGAACGTTTTTAATTAAAGCGCAGATCAAGAAGAGATGTAAAACGAATGCAAGTTAATAAATTATTTAGGGTTATAAAAAAATATTTGATAAGTAAAATTTGAGTGCATTATTGGACTTATTTAGTCCTGTCCTGTTATAACTTCTTGTTCTGCAAGGGAACCTTTTTCATAGGTCAAATCGATACAAATATAATTAGAACCAACATCATAAGTTTATAAAGATAATCACTACCAGCATGGCAAACATTCTGTTATCTCAAATTCAACGGTTTAATTTCCTGAGATTACCAACAAAATCTTTGGTTCTTATCAAATGAATTTCTGCAGGGTCAGAGGTAACTCAGCTCCAGCTAAGACATGGAGCTCTAGGATTTATCTGTGTGACACACTCTGCTCCCATTTCGCTTCTCCGGAGGAGACACACATAAGTATTCCGCACAAGGTCTGGTCATGAGCGAATGGTTTGATGAGGCAAACGGTTAGAAGAAGACAGCCAATTTACAGGCTTGTGTGTATGGTGGACGTGACCAGCAGTGTCTCAGTGGTGCATCAGTCACCTGCCACTCAACATAGTCCAGCATCACTCCCACACATCCTGGCTTGTTRTTTCTGCCTCTTTGTGGCTGTCTGTTTCTACAAGAACACAGTTTTTGTCCTTATAGTACTCAGGCTTCTGTTTTATCTAATAGTGTTCCACAATAAAAGTAGACAAGATCCACTACTGTCTCCAAAATAAAGAAAACTTGTTTTATGACACTAACCTAACCTATGTGTCTATATTCATGTGAAATGCAGTCTTGTTAATTCTTATTGTAGTGGCATTTTGTACAATTGCAATTTTAAAGGGCACTTTATCAGGCTTTGAAATCCTTCTTTTTCCACATTTAAAACATTTAATTGGGGTCTATATAAAGTGGAACTGCAATGCTTTGGTCTAAATTCCTCAGCCGGTTCTGATGCTATCAGTCCATTAAATGGATGTTATTAGTGGTTATCAGTCCCATAGAATGGCTTCAGACTGTCCCGACAGTACCCCCGTAGTGGGTTATCAGTGACATATACGTTGGAATGAAACAATCTGCTACCGTTGGAGTTGGTCTACTTTAWCGTAGCCCATGGCATTTTTTCTCAAATTAACCTTAGTGACTTTATTAACCAGATTGCATTAAAAACTTAGTGGTTTTATGCCTAATACTAACCAGCTGACAGTCTGAAACCATTCTATGGGACAGAGAACCCACTAGGCGGCACAGTCYGGACAGTCTGAAGCCATTCTATGGGACTGATAACAGCTAATAAAGTCCGTTTAATGGATGATAACATCCGAAGCAGGTGGAATTCCTTCTRGTTGCAACTCCACAAGCCCCTCTTTTACCCTTTTTTCTGAAGTGTTTCTCGATCAACTCGATTTGAGGCTGTCTCTTTAAATGCAAATAAGGCGCTTCACACCACGCCCCCCCCTCCCTCCAACTTCCAAACTGGTCCATTCTAGTTTAATAGAGCGGTTCATGACTATATAGCAGCACAGACGTGCATTTTTCTCCAACTACTCACTTCCATGAATGCAATTGTTGTAACCAGAAGCAGACATTTTTAAAGGGGCAATATTATGTGTTTCTCAGACATATTTTTAAATACTATACCATAATAAATTATCTATGTCACCTTTAGTTGTTATTAAAATGCTGTTTTTATGTTTAAATAGAAAATAAACTTTTTGTTCTCATCACTTCCTCTTCTTAACGCAAGTACACTTCGCTGCAGCATGCAGCTCGGGGCGGTGACAGACCTTTCCGTCGGTCCCATACCTTATATGGAAATGGGACTATTGCATTCCG